ATTAACTGTATGTTTGGTTATGTTTAATTATTTTCCAAAACAGCGTTTTACACGAAAAAGAAGAAGGAAAACAATTTTTTTTTCTTGCAATGATTACATGGGCGTGTATTAATTATACTATGGAATGTTAATTCTGAATAAACTGAACTTTCCATAAAATATACTTAGTTTGGCACAAAAAGGGAATTTGCAGTTGAGTGATGTATATTTGGATACTTTTATATATCTCCAGGGTGATTTACTGATTTTGAAGCATAGGTAAACAGTTAACTTTGGCCATAAATGTTTCCAACTCAAGTTAATAGTAACTATTTTGCACTTAGCACGCTAACTATGGTATTATTTGTCGCATATTGAGTGACATTACAAATAAATTAGGATAACATAACTGATTAGGATAACATAACTGGTTGTGTTATATGATAAATTTTATTACTGTTTGATGACTAATGCACATATTAAGAATTTTATTATCTTTGTGGTTGCAATATAACAAAATTCGTTATAATATCCTTTGTGTTGTGTATTATTTTTTTACAATGCAAATAGGATTAGAATAAGGTATGGGTTATTTGTGTTTTTCTCTTTTTGTGCTGTGCACAAGATTTTGTGACCTAGTTTAATGGGTAAAAAAAATTTAGGATGCGTTTGTTTTGCTAATTAAAAATATTAAGGACAATACAGCACACAAAAAATTGTACTATATTATTTACAAAAAAAAAAAAAAAAGTGTACTATATTTTATTATTCAGATAATATAAGTTCCAGTCCAGGCATAAAGTAACTCAAAAAAAATATAAATCTCTAATTTTTTGTTACCAACAAAATTAAGTTACTAAATATTTTTCACATAAAAAAGGCTTTAATGTTTCTACAGTGAGTGAATGTAGATAAGTTATCTATATTCATTTTCAAAACGACATCGTTTTGAGCTCAATGTAAATAATTTATCTACATTGACTATAGAAAAAAAGAATAAAATAAAAAACTAATCCTTACCTCTTCGTTTTTTAAAGAAAAAATTAATGTACAATACATGAATATCATTGTTTTATATTGTTGTGCTTGTATTGTAGCTTAATATGTATCAAATGCAAGCTTAAATATTTACGACGATGCTTGAGTTTTTTTATTTTATTTTATCAAATACGTATATTATTTAACAATAAAACAAAGCATTTTTTTTTCTGTACTGTCCTTTATTTTATATTTTTAGCAAATTAAACCCACCCTAACTCTAAAATTGATTTAAAGATATCCTAAATGAAGTTTTGCTAAATGTGTTGGTTTGAGGATGAAATTCAATTTTGGACATGATGTGGGTTTCGGATCGGCAAAACACCCGCCCAAACACCTCATAAACAGGAAAGGAGAAAAAAGAATGTTGATCTTCTGTCAAAAAACTCATTTTGAGCTTGCTTCTTCTTCTTTTTTATATAAATAAAAATTGAACACATAACTTAATACAATTTACTCAAACCTTTCATCATTAGACTAATTCTAATAGCTTCATTTTGAACATTTTGATTCTCGCTTAAAATGAAATTTTCAGACTTAAGTTTTAGAGCTAAATAGCTTTTGTCCTTAATCAAGTAGCTTTTTCAATAATTTCTTTTTAGTAAATACATAAAATTAATTATTTTTATAGTATCAAACAAAACAAAAATCTTCTCTACCCAAAAGAAGGAAAAAAAATTGTTTGTTTAAAATTGTTTATGAGTGTATATATCTAAAAATAAACTAATTTGTTCAAACTAACTTTTCTTTTCTTTTATTTTTCTTAATATTCAAAGTGTGACTATAATTTTAGAGGTATGATGACATCTCATCTGAGAGCTATTAGATCACAAAAAATCAACGACTCTGATTTGTAAGCATGTGACACCATTGATAATTTTTTATTTAATGATTCTCAGATGAGGTGTTAAATTTTAAATTTGACACTGGTATCAAAGGATCCTACCTCATAATTTTATATTGATTAGAAATAGTGTAACTGAGAATTATATAAATAGAAATACTCATGAACTCCTTACCTTAATGTTTTTGATTAAGACAAATCCACTTATTTTGGTTAAGACAAACTCACTTATTGTGATAAATTATTGCTTGATTGATTAATAATATACTATCTACTTTGGACCCCTAACAAAAAGATAATAAACATATACAATTATTAGATTATACGTGCATTATGTAACAAAATAAATAAATTATTGTTGCATTTAAATAAATCTAATTTTAAAAAATAAATTATTTTTTATATACAAAAAGATATTAGTTGTATGATATTCTAAAAATTATGCTTGCCTGTAATATTTTATTGTATTATGAAATACCCAAAAAAAGAAAATATAGTAAGTATAAAAAAATCAATTTAACAATTAAGTATTAATAAAATAAACTATATCCAAAATTAATAATAATAATAAACTAACCAAAAATATTTCAACATTTTTAATGATTTATCGGGTTTTATGTTTATCATTTAACATAATATAACTTCACTTTCCTACACACACATTAAAGAGGTGGGGTCCACATATTTTTCTTTCTCTTTCGTCATTCTACTCTCTCTCTCCCTTTTAATGTGAGAGTTGGAAACAACACTTACATTATGTTATATAACACTAATACAACCCTCACACTGGCAATTTAAACCACAAAAAAAAAAAACAAAAAAAAAACAAAATCAAAATCAAACCACTTTTTTTTTTTTTTTGATAACAAAATCAAACCACTTTTGGTACTAATCCAAAATGACACATCAAGGTTTGATAAGACTTAAACAGAGTTGATTGTGACTTAGTGACACCAATCCTTCCATTAGGTCAATAGGTTCAATGATTTATTTATGAAACAACATCAGAAGAAAGGAAAAGAAAGGGGACATAAGGATGATCAAAATGAAATTTTGCCCCATAATTAACTTTCAAAGTTTTTGACTTTTGTGAAATATACACGGAGGGCAAACAGGTAATTACATACTAACTGTCTTACTCTTCATGTAGTGTTTTGTGTCTTATACTGTCAGGTATATTCTTCCCTGTTGGTTGGAATAGTCACTCTATTCATTTTTTTGTATATAAGAAAAAAGGCTCCATTCGTTACACTAACACAAGTTCCCACCTTCACCAAAGCCTTAACATTTCACAGAGAGAAAAGAGTATCTCCCTGCAATGGTTCCAAAGCTCCATTGTTGGCATGGAACTAAGCCTATCTGAACAATACCCTTCTCTCCTTCTTCTAGTAAGGCTGAAAATTTCTTAGCTAAGAAGAAGAAGAGAGCACGATAGTTTTTTGAAGTTGAAAGCCAAGTTTCCTACTTTCAATTTGTTAAGTTCTTCTGGGTGGAGTTCCTTCATTTGGTGTTTAGAGTCATTGGATTTATTAGGTCTATGCCTGTTATTGCTTATATGGGTCCAACCATCTCAAAGGTGCAAATGGTTCTGTCCCTTGCTCTGCAAATTTACCCTGTTTTCTTTTAACTTTTAGCTTTGATTTACTAATTTGTTGGGGTTAAAAGATTATAACTTTCTATGTTTTTGGGATTGTTCTTCCAAAAATTATAGCTGTGATTACGTTAGAAGCGGTTTCATATGAATTCCAATGCTATTTAAAATCTAAAGGAATGTTTTTGGGATTGTTCTTCCAATTAAAGCAATATAGTTGTGATTAATTTGACTAGAAAAAATTATAGATTGTTTCGTGGATGTTAAAATATCTTTATTTTCTATGAATTAGTTGTACCACGTTGTTTCTCTCTCTCTCTCTCTCTCTTTTCACAGACCAACTAGAGAAGGAGGCAATTGCTTTTTATTTTTATTATTCATGAAATTTGAGGTGCAAAATACCTGAGTTGTGTGCAATGGTTAACTTACAATATAGTGTGTTAGAATAGTTTTTTTTTTTTTTTTGGTAAGCGTGTTAGAATAGATTTTGTACTAAATCAAGATATTAATTTGTATGTATCTTATTGTATAATTTTCTAGACTATCAAAATGGAAGGAACCTTGAGAAAATGTTAATTCTCATTTTGTTATAACTTCTAGTTTTGTTTATCAAGACTCACAGGGATTCCTTTAGATTCCATTTATTTGATGTTGAACTACATATATTCATTTATTAAAAGCATTTCACTAATTTAATCTCAACCCCAGCTTTTTCTCTCGCATCCTGAACTATGATGCTACATTATAAAATAGTTAGCTAAGCTATTTGAATTCTCATTCTTTTGTTGTATCTGCTTTCTTTTCATATTGTAAAAGGTTAGAGAAAGTATTCACTAGTTATTTTATTGCAGGTTCAAAAGAAAGGATCTGGTAATTGAAGCCCTTTTGCCAATGGCAATTGTGTTTCGAATTTATCGTCTTGCTGTAAATCAAGGAGCAGAAAATATTTCTGCTGAATGGCTAAAAGCTTTCCTGATTGCTACTCTGAAATTTTGTTGGTTCTAGATGTTAGCCAATCTCCCTTGGTACCAGATAAACCTGATAGAGAGAGTGTTAAACTTTGTGGTGGGGGCAAATCTCCTTTGGCAATATAACTTTCAATCTTGGAAGAGGAAATTTTCTTTACTTTCTAGCTTATTTATGTTTGAAGATTCACCTGTATTGGGCAAATCTCCTTTGGCAAAAGTTACTTAATTTTCTTTGGTTTGATTCCAGGTAGTAGAAGTTTATGAAAAATAATTTTTTCCTTTTGTAACAATATTACCATTCAAAAGTAATTTCTCTAGGAACTCCACCCTTTCTGCTGGGCAAATCTCCTTTGGCATCTTGATTATCTTGGTCTGCTTCCTCCAATTGCTAGAAAATTTCCTTCCAGTAAGCTACCCCAAAAAAAAAATTGTGGCTAGTTGATATTTTTTTGTTTGAATTGGGCAAATCTCCTTTGGCATTTTGGAGTCCTTGATTGATTCCTATTATCCTATTGGGCAAATCTCCTTTGGCATCAGATCTCCAGATTGAGTAATCAAGATAATCTTCTGGAGATACTGACTAACTATCTGTGACAAAAAGCAGCACGAAGTGGAAATATTTTGTTTAGACACAATTATCCATTGAAGCCAGTGCACCTTTGTGATCACAATACATACACACTGGGGTTTTATCCTTTAATTTCCTTAAGGTAAGAATCTTCTTCAATCCCTATTTAGTGTTATTGTTCATTTATGAGTATGTTAAAATTTTGTCAACAATTTTCACATATCTATATCAACAATTCTAAATACAAAAAATAGATTACTAATTTATTGCTTTTCATGCATAGCTCTCAACATCAACATCAACCACACATCCACCTTTTCACGCATAGCTCTCATTTAAAGAATTTTCTTTACAGGGTTAAAAATCTTCATCTTAATTAACAGGTTGTATCCTTTATTCTCAGGATACTATTGAGTTCAAAGTAATTCTGATTCCATCTATTTCAGAATCGGTGGGAATTCCTATAATACATGGACTAACAGCTCTTTTCTTCTCTATTGTGGTGTTATCATGTTGATGTTGATGTTTTGTTATCATGTGATTTTATTGTAATTTAATTGATGTCACTATCACAATATTATGACAGGCACTTAATTTATGGATGCTATCATCAGTGATTCAGACTGGGAGACTTCCAGTGACAGCAGCAGCAGTGAGGATCAAGAGGAAATGGATTTTCTATATGGTGGGCAAGCTCAGAGCATATTATCAAGTTTAGAGGAAAGTATTGGGAAGATTGATGATTTTCTCTCATTTGAGAAAACATTTGTTCATGGGGATGTGGTCTGCTCCTTGTCAGATCCATCTGGACAGATGGGCAGGGTCACAGGTGTTGATATGTTTGTGGATTTGGAAAATCTTCAAGGAAAAGTATTAAGAAATGTGAACTCCAAGAAACTTTCGAAGATTCGCTCCATTTCAGAAGGTACTTATGTAATTAGGGGGCCATGGCTTGGTCGGGTTCAAAGGGTTGTGGACAAAGTGACTGTATTGTTTGATGATGGAGCTAAGTGTGATATCATTGCTTCGGAAAGAGAGAAGCTTATACCACTGACTCGTAATTTTCCTGAAGATTCACAGTATCCATACTATCCAGGGCAGAGAGTAAAGGTTAAGCCCTCCAGTGCTTCTAAATCAGCTAGATGGTTATGTGGCACTTGGAGAGACTACCAAGATGAAGGAACTGTTTGTGCTATAGAAGCAGGTTTGGTGAATGTTAACTGGCTTGCCTCTGTTCCTATGGGTTGCAATTTGAATGTGAATGCTCCCCCATGCTGGCAAGATTCCAAAAGCTTGACTGTGTTATCTTGTTTTTCACATTTAAACTGGCAGCTTGGTGACTGGTGCACACTCTCAGTTGCAGACCTAAAGGAACAGATTATTCAACAAGCATCTTCAGCTGGTCTTACTATGGAGCATAGTATGGAAAGAGGGTATAAGAGAAGAAACCTTAACTCCTATATTGGTGAATTGTTTATAATTGGGAAGATAAAGACCAAAGTTGATATTGTGTGGCAAAATGGTGAGCATACTTTGGGATTGGATCCAGAGAATTTACTCCTGGTGAATGTTATAAACACTCATGAATTTTGGCCTCATCAGTTTGTAATGGAAAAAGGTGCTTCTTCTGATCCTCTTAAGCCTAGCAGTCAAAGATGGGGTGTTGTCCAATGTGTGGATGCAAAGGAGCATATTGTAAAGGTAGAATGGAAAACTGTTTCCATATCCGACCAAGATAATTTGGCTGGAGATAAAATGGAGGAAACTGTGAGTGCCTATGAACTTGTAGAGCACCCAGACTACTCCTGTTTTATTGGTGATATTATGTTCAAGGCGGCTCAAAAACAGCTTGGTTACCAAGCTGGCAAAGAAAAAGCAAAGTCTGTGACTGACTTGAATGCGGAGAATGCTCTTAAAAAGGGGAACCAAATGTGTTATCAGGATGAGTTCCCTGATAACTGTTTCCTGGGCTGTATTGGCAATGTTACTGGTTTCAAAGATGGGGATGTGGAGGTGAAATGGGCTACTGGTTTCACAACCAAGGTATGACATATAATTTTCTCTACTCAATATGTTGTAGTTAATGAGACAGCTTGCTATATATGGAGTTGGAGAACTCATGAAGTTCTTCCCATATCTCATTGTCTATATGAACAGTTTTATAGATAGTTATTGATCCTATTAGCTGATTTATTCGACATGCTAGTTTGTGTAGTTAAGATTGGTTTAGGATTATCCTTTCTACTATTTTGTAATATATATAAGATAAATCACATTCATAGGCAAAATTTGGATGTGATGGTAATGGTAAAATAACTTGCAACTGTTGAACTTGGCCTGCATATTGTATACTTAATGATACAACTGAACTTGAAATATTGGCCACTTAAGAAAATTATTGGTAGAATTACAATAAAAGGAAGGGGAAGGATCCGTTTACAAACTTTTTTTACAAATTTATGCAAATTGCACTATGTTCTCCCGGGAGAAGATGTGTGATTAGTGTTCTCCTGGAAGAAGATAGAGTGGTTTGTAAATATAACCTGTCCCTAAAAGAAATTCTTGGGCAAAATATTTTCAGTTCAATAACTATTAACTGCTCAAATGGTTAATTATTCTTAAACTGGAAATATTTTTACCAATAAGTTTTTTTCTTTTGTAGTTTTCCCTGCATTGTTTCTGATTTTCTATTGCAATTTATAAATTAATTTGTAGTTTTTCATCCATAGGAAGTAATGTATAGATGGTTTTTGTTCTTCCCAACAGGTTGCGCCTTATGAAATTTTTCGGATTGAGAAACTCGAAGGTTCAACCGAAACCCCCACCCCTAATGAAATTAATGTTGAGGGGTTAACTCAAGAGATGATTGAACATGGAAGTCTACCTTCTGAGCAGAAGGGAAAGGTGAGGGCAATATCTTTTCTGTATGTTCTGTATTTCTCTTTGTGCACAAAAAGTTTAATGTGGAAATCATAGGCATCAATTACCATCCTAAATTACATTTTTCATGATTAATTGTTGACTAGGAGCTTACTAAATGCAACTGTTTAATTATAAACTGAATATAGCATTTGATGATCAGGACTTCTTGAATGATGGTGGTAGTAGAGAGAATTGTGAAAAGAATCTTGTGGAGTGTAGTTCCTTTTCCCTTCCTCGAGCCGCCTTTGAACTTGTCTCCAGCATTAAAACCAGCATACTCCAAACACTTCGTGGATCTTTACTTTCAGAAACATTTTCCTCAGTACCTACATTTGAAAAGGAGAATGGATCTGATTTTCTTGATAAGAAAGACTTGGAAACTTGTGACCTCTGCCCTGAATCACATCCAATGACTGAGTTGCAATCTACTGAAGACAGAACTTCATATCCAGAAGTTATTAGAATACATGAAAAGAATGATTTTCCATTTTCTTCAGACAGCAACAGTTCAAACCAGTTTAAGCAGTTTGATGTTATAGAAAATTGCTCTGACCACCATTTTTTTGATGAGGGAAAAGGGTTGTCAATATCTCAGGTTAGAAATTGATCATCACTCACAGTGACATACTATTGCAGTTATATATTGTTAGGCTAATGGTTTTCTATCCTTTGTAGGTAAAAAGAGGTTGGGTGAAAAGGGTTCAGCAAGAATGGAGCATACTCGAGGAAAATATTCCTGGTGCATACTTGTATCTTATTTATTTTGAACCACGTTGTTATATATTGCTTAAACTCAAACTGGAAATTACATTTGTGTCGCTGTAAAGAACCAATTCAACTCAAAAGCTTAAACTAGCGAAGATTGAACTCGAGACACCTAGCGAAGATTGAACTCGAGACACCAAGTCTCTGATACCATGTAAAGAACCAATTCAACCCAAAAACTTAAGCGGTTAGGTGAGGTTACATTAATGGTTTTATATATCTCTAACAGTCACCTTAGGCATAGTCTCTTCACATTATTGATCCCAAATTTTCAGAAGGCAAATAGGAAAGATTAAATTAGAGACAAAATTTTGATTTTAGGGAGATCAGGAGCCTTAGGTTGAGAAGACTACTCTAAAATAGAAACTAAATTATTACAAAATAAAATAAAATAGAAACTAAATTGATGGTAGTTGTAAAGAGAAAATGAAAAACTGTTCAAATTCCATGTTTTGAAAGTGGAAGTCCATAAGTTTGATTGTATTCGAACGTAAGTAAGTAAGCATCATTGGTTATTGAAGACTTAATATGGAAACAAGCTGAAAATAAATAGCCTATAATGCAATTTTGAGTAAAGCCATATGTTGATTGCTTAATTTTCTAACGCAAAGGGAAATCTATAGAAGTGTGCTGTAAATATTCATAGCAATTTCTGCAAATACACTTACAATCCTTATTGAACCAAACAGAAACTATTTATGTTCGTGCCTTTGAAGAAAGAATGGATCTCATGCGAGCAGCTATTGTTGGTGCATCTGGAACTCCTTATCATGACGGGTTGTTTTTCTTTGATATATGTTTTCCTCCGGAGTATCCTAATGAACCACCTGTAAGCTTTTTAAATGTAGTTTGCAATGCTTGTTAATTATTTTCAATTATAATTCATAGAAAAGCACCCCTTGTTTGTGCTTTTTGTAGAAAATATTTCAGTCTATATTGAAACAGCTCATGTTCAATGATCTCAGAGAAAAACTCAATATTTATTATATCTGAACAAACTCTCATGTTGTCATCATCATGGCCTTTGAAATCCCATGCAGATGGTGCACTACAATTCTGGTGGACTCCGATTAAATCCTAACTTGTATGAGTCAGGGAAAATCTGTCTGAGTCTCCTAAACACTTGGACTGGCTCTGGCAGTGAAGTGTGGAACCCTGGAGCCTCCACTATTCTTCAAGTTCTTCTCTCACTGCAAGCCCTTGTCCTTAATGAGAAGCCTTATTTCAATGAGGCTGGTTATGACCAACAAATCGGCAGAGCTGAGGGAGAGAAAAACTCAGTGAGTTACAATGAGAATGCTTTCCTTGTCACAACCAAATCCATGTTATATCTATTAAGGAAGCCACCCAAGGTAAAATTACTACTTTCTATACTATGGTTTTCCTCTATTGTTACATTGAATTCAGTGATGATCTAGGAATAGTAGACAATGAATTCAGAGTGGCATAGCCGGTTAGTTATATGTGGACCATTGATTTAAGTACAACATGCCAAAAATGTATATCTTGGTACACACAAATAATAAAAAGGCATAAGACACTGCTAGCGCATAACAATAGAGGATAACCTCTATTGTTCCATCTGAATCTTTGAATGTAGTTATTTGAATGGAATTGTAACTGACAATGATGTCTGATGCAGCATTTTGAAGCACTGGTAGAAGAGCACTTTAGAAAACGCTCCCAACATATACTTGGTGCCTGTAAGGGATATCTTGGAGGAGCTTCCATTGGATGTGGAAAAACTGAACATGAAAACCAGATGGGGACTTCCACAGGATTTAAAATTATGCTTGCCAAGCTCTTTCCCAAGCTTGTAGAGGCATTTTCTGATAAGGGAATTGATTGCAGTCAGTTTGTTGAGCTACAAAAATAACTTTCCTACTAAGTTGTAAGTAACTGTCATATTTCCCGACCAATATATTCCAACTTCAAGCGTAAAATCATTATGTTTTACACGTATCTGTATGACATCAATTGTAAGCCTATTAAAACACCAATCTCTGGGTTTTGTACTGTAGTGGTGAGGATGTAACCAACACAACAGACCTTGTGCTTGTGGTATGTATATGTATCACATCATGGCTTGTAGATGTAAAATATGAAATAAGAAAAACAGTGATTGGAATGATTTTCTTTGTGTCTTTTAATCTGTTTGATATAGATGTTTTATGGCATGTTAAAGAAGTGTTTTGAGAGTTTCCTGAAGGCGTCATTTGGTAGCTATTGTTGTGACTTTCAGATAAAACTATCTGTTTGTGGAATAAATTCATTATCCATGAAACTACAAGAAACCAACTTGAGATATTAATAGCAATATACACAAAAGTATCCTTAACCAAGAGACTATGAGAAGCTGGTTTTCTTATTTGTTAAGCTTTGCAAGCCTTTCCTTTTCTTTGTGTGCAAAAGAAATGAACACCTTCTCTTTCTCTTCTTCTACAAAGTTCTAGAGAGCAAATTGTTAAATGAAACCAACTAGCTAGAACACTAAAAGCCCCTTTCAATGAATCGGTTAAAAAAAGTGAGATGCAATAAAAGCAATAATATTGCCCTTCAACAACTATTAGTATAAAACCTTAGAATATGATATTGCTTTGGCCTTCATTCCATCAACTAATATTTATGAGTAATGACATTGAATTACCGTGGTTTCGTTATTATTCTGAAGAACAATCTCTCTTTTAACATTCATATATTCCTTACCAATTACTCAACATGTATTGGAAGATTAGTAGATAACCCTTTCAATTAAGGAAACAAAAACTAAACCGAAGCATCCCAAACTATCAATCTTTTGCTTTGGTCAGATCGTTCAATTTTATAGCTTCAGTTTCGTTTTACTACTTATGGAATCAACCAAATTTAGTTTGATCTTTGAAACTAGACCCCCATCATTACACATGCTCTCGTAGTGTTAGCATTATATTTGAAGAGTTCTTTTAAGTTTTCAAAAGGAGTGCCAAAAGAAATAGATTGAATAATGACTATTTCAAACCCCCCCAACACACACACAAAAAAAAGGTCTTTTCTCTTTCGTTTGTTCTTTGTCCCTCCTCTGTCGAAACATGGAAGTTATTTCTATCCCCTTTTTTTGCCATGTTCTTAACTTGGTTTCAGATCTTGTGATCAGCTCTATTTATATTAATTACATACATAAAAGAAGCCATATCACATGATAAGCCGCTGTCCCTTATTACTATATACACTATATAGTCTTCAGTAGCCTTTCACTGCACGTAAGAAACTTAAAAGATAGTCTTAACAAAACTCCTTCAGCTAGTTGAAGCAGCACCAATTTGCTGCAAATAAGAATCATATAGCTTTATTAGGCGCTATATATAATATATGTAGAGAGAAGAGAAAAGCAAAATTAAACCATACTGATTTTGGTGCAAACATAGGTTCTCTCAAAAATGCTGATGAATTCATATGTTAATCACGACCAAAATTCCTGTCATCTTCGTTTTGAATGCCATATTATATTATTCCTCGCGCATACTTTAATTATGCAAATTGAAACACTACCATTCTCTTCATAAATTGTTCTCAAAATAATCTCCAATTAATCAGATTCACGCCGGTATAAATCCTATCACCAATAATCTAAACAAGAACATGAGCCTTCTCTGAAATGATGAAAACGAAGCTTATCCCGAATGATTATCTCTCTATTTGTTACAACCGAGATGAACTTAATTGATGAATGACAGTCTTCACACATCCTAAGGTTCTTGACAATCCTGAGAGTCATTCCATGGCTAGTTTTCATTAGCCCAAATGCTACTGCAAGCTTCTCACTATGGTATCTGAGGGCATATTCCCTCTCTTCTTCTTCCAACTCATGCATTGCCGATTCAGGAACAGGTGCATAACCTGCTTCCTTGCACCTCGACATCAATTCATCCAAATAATGATAAATTTCATTAGTCTCAGGGAGGGACTTGTCACCCATGCTAAAAAGGTAAGTTTTATTGTTGACATCTATGGTGCTATAACCTACTTGCTTTTTTAGGCCTCTTTGGATCATTATGTTTCTAACCGATTCCACTCTATCCATCCTTCCTGCCAATGCATACATGTTAGAAAGCAATACATAATGAGCTGGATTCTCTGGCTCTGCAGAGATGAGATTCTCAGCAACTTCCACCCCAAGATCAAAATTCTTATGCATCTTGCAAGCCCCTAGCATTGCAGTCCATACTGCTGGAACAAGCTCCTCAGGACTAAGTTCTTTGATGAACTGGTATGCTTCACTGAGCAACCCTGCACGCCCAAGCATATCAACCATACAAACATGGTGCTCCACTCCTGGAATCAGACCATACTCCTTTCTCATGCTTGCAAAAGCTTGGCGCCCTTCATGTATTAGCCCTGCATGAGCACATGCAGATAAGACAGCAACAAAAGTGACAGTATTAGGAGCTAGCCCACATGTTTTCATTCGATTGAAAAGCTCCATTGCTTGAACACCATAACCATTCATACCATACCCAGATATCATAGCTGTCCATGCAATAACATTCCCCTCGTTCATTGAATCAAAAACCACACGTGCTCTGCTTACATTACCACACCGTGAAAACATGCTTATCAAAGAGGTAGAAAGAACCACATTCACACGAATTCCATTGCTAATGATAAAGTCATGCACCCAACACCCCAAATCAAGTGATCCCAGTTGAGAGCAAGCAGATAACACACAAACAAAAGTTGCGGAATCTGGATCGACCCCCAACTCACGCATCTTGTGAAACAGCACCACTGCTTCATTGGCAAGCCCGTTCTGTTCATAACCAGAAATCATCGAATTCCAAGCAACAACACTTCTTTGAGGCATTTTATCGAACACCTTCCGGGCAATACCTAGTGCACTTGATTTCGCGTAAAGCGCAATGATTGCAGCTTGGACAAATGAATCCGAGCCATACCCAGTAACCAAAACATGGGAATGAATAACCCTGCCAACTCGGAGGGCCGAAAGATCAGCACAAGCCTTGATCACAGAGGTGAAGGTGTAACTGGAAGGTGCAATACGCGAGAGCAACATGCGAGAGTAGAAATGGATGGCATCAAGAGAGAAACCGAACTTGGAGGAAGCTTTGATGAGGGAATTGAAGAGGAAAGAATCTGGGTCGAACACGGAGCGAAAGAGTCGACGAGTGTAGGCAATGGAACCTGCGGCACAAGACAAAGTGAGGAGTTTAGTGAGGAGAGCTCGGCTCCGGTGACAACCTGAGACCACGAGATGAGCATGAACTTGTTGAAGGGGTCTGAGATGCGGGCCTGCACGTACCACAGCTTCGTATTCTGCAGATTTTGATTTTGATTTTGAAGGGGTTTCTGTAACTTCACCCTCGTCTTTTTCTTCCCATTGTTTGGCTTCCATGAAAGAAAAGAAAAGGACCTCGTTTTTTTATTAAAGATTCGAGTAAATACTATTTTTAGTGGCTGACAAAAAAATTGGCTCTAAAAAAAAACAATAGTGTCTAATTCTTATTAAATTCAAAGTGGATTTATTTTAGTATCTCGTAAAAATTAACGCAACATATGCAAGATGTCGAACCTACATTTGTGATCCTTCATCCTCTTAGAAATGAATGAGTAATAATTACAAATGAAGTATGTAAAAAAAACACATGAACATGTGAGTACAAATAAAAAGTGTTATAACAATACATTCATATATTGATGATCATGGAATATTGTTTGTTTAAGAATAGCAGTTAACAACATACCACGTGTGCATGAAAAACGATTCTTGCATGAGAAAAAAAAGTAGCAGTTAAAAAAAACTAAACGGTAACGAAAATAAGTACAAAAGCATTCCATTGCCATTCCATTTTTTTTGTCTTTACCTGTACCAAGCAGTGATGTTATCTCATAGTAGACAGAAGGAAATTTACTACATTAATCTTTGAAATACTTCTTTGTAAACTATATTAAGGGTACTATTTGTAACACAACTGTTTTCATCAAGTATCAATATCTTCAATCCATGCTTGCTCTTTACTCTAAACAGTGCCACATATAATTGCCCATGAGTGAAGACAGGCTTAGGGAGATAAATTGCAACATGAGAAAGAGATTGTCCTTGGCTCTTATTGATAGTCATGGCAATGAAACAATCAGGGGGAATTGTCTTCTTTGGAAATTTATAGGAAATGTGTGACTTGATGGGCTCATCGTCATTCTAGGGATTAACACAGTTTCACCTATATTGCTTCCTGTAAGAACAATTGCCTCAACAACATGATTCCCCAATTTTGTAATGAGCAGCCTTGTGCCATTGCATAAACCTCTGGACTGATCAATATTTCTCAATAGCATTACTGGAACTTTAACCTTCAAAGCTAATTTATGATCAGGAATTCTCGAACACGATAATGTATTTAAGATCTCAGGTGTGAATTCATCATCCTCAACGGAGGAAGCCACATCTTGCTTCAGAATTTTATCAGAACTCAAGAATGTCATTTCTTCACCAAGAATCATAGACATCAGGTGCTCGTTCAACATAGCAACATCGGACAATTTAGGAGTTAGAATAGCACGTTCTTTGAAAAATGTTGGATCTAAAATATTATCCAAGAGATTCAGATAAACAAAATTAACCATATCTGAAAGGGGATCATCTGATTCTGTAATCAATAATTCATCTGGAATTGTTATCATAGATTCTCCGTCTTCATCATCTCCAAGATCACCATCCCCAACTTTAAGTAGCCACTCTGAAAATTCTTTTATTTCCTTCACATCATGAGTGGTACTTCCAGAATTAAGACACATGTTCTTGGTCAAAGTTAATAAATGACAATGAGACCATAGATGAGAAGAATTTATGGTTGCATTTACTATCTCCTGTCTGCTGCCATGAAGAATGACAAGTAATATTTGTCGAAAGTCACCTCCTAGAACAACAATTTTTCCACCAAATGGCATATCAACGCAGCTCGTGTCAGAAAATCTAAGAACATCTCTATGTGTTCTATCCAGAGCCTCAAAACAAAATCTATGCACCATTGGTGCTTCATCCCAAATGATTAACTTCATTTTTGACAGCAACTCAGCTATAGGAGAATTTGGCTTTATATTACACGTTGAATCTTCATTGATCTGAATAGGAATACGAAATCTAGAATGTGTTGTTCGTCCTCCAAGAAGCAGAAGGGAAGCAATTCCGCTAGAAGCAACATTAAGTACTATTTCATGTACCAAATAAATGTTTTTCCTGTACCACCGAATCCGTATAGGAAGAATAACCCTCATTTACCTGTTCTAACTGCCGAAATGATTTTGTCATAAACAACTCTCTGCTCATCAGTGAGGGAATTCAATAGTCTTTGATGCTCTTCTCCCAATGAAAATCTGTCATACATTAATTCATCAACTACTAATCGATTCTGCATATCAAGCAACGATTCACTATTGATGCGAGGCATTGATGGGTAATCTGAGAGGCATTAACCATTGCTCTGCAGCACCTTATCAATTTCAGCAAGTGTTATGTTTTTTATACTTTCTTATGTAAGAAGCGCATCTAAAAAAACATTAAATACAAAGGAAAAAAAGTTAAAATTAACAAAGAGAAAAGGTATAAAGGAAAGAACAAAACCGAAATAAATAATCAAGCAACATATGATGAATTCAGGTAAAAAAATAGCAAAATAAACAGTAAAGCAACATATACTGATTTCGATTTTTAAAAAATATAAATGCGTCAAATATTATCATAACACATACCTTGATGCCCTATTCTTGTCCTATGCCAATAAAGAACGTCGTCGGATAAAAATTTCCAACACTCTTCCCAAACTTTTTCAGGCCTGTTCATTGAGTTGGCAAATAACAATAGAGCAAACAGAGATCTAAGATAAGCAGCAGAATCCCATGAACTTGCCTCTTTAATTGCATCAATCTACTCATTGTCATCATCTAGAAGTCCTAAAGAATAGCAGGCATCCTTAAATGTAGGAAAAAGCATGCAATTGATTGTTCTAAGATCTTTATAACTTGTACACCCCCTTTGAAAAGTAAGCAACGTGCGAAGATAGGAATCTTCTCCATTATTGACGGAAAAACGATTTATTCTCCCAATTGAAAATCCTACTTTTCTAGGATTCCATTCATGAGTTTGGTCTTTGTAAACAAATTCAGTCGGGTACTCTGCATAAGTTAGATGCCTACCTTCTGGATATTTTTTATTTGCATCCATCCAAGACTCAAAAATTGATAGTCTAGACTCCGCCCTTGTCTTGACATCAGAAATCGAAGCATTATCACTGAAAATAATGTTCTTTTCATTGGGCAGGTTAAATGGCAATCTCTGAACAGGGGGTACCTGGAATGAATGTCAAATCCAAAAATTCTCCAAGCAGCTTCACATGCGGAGACATACCTATAATAAATAATTAATTAAAACAACAAAGTTGAAAAATCCTGAAAGAAGATACGTCGATTTTAGGGTTAAGCAAAATCAGATCAGAGATAATTTTGAGTACCTGCATTCATAAAACATTTTGATTTCATCGTCTGCATGATGTATGGCAGCTGTAACTCTATCATTACCTTTGTGAATGTATTTAAAAAGATATTTAATGGCACTTCCTGGCAAGTATATTCAACATTGATATGAGCCTGATACTTTAAAAGAAGTTGTGCATTATACGGCACAACATAACGATTATTAAGTTCAACACCATTTTTGTTCACAACTCTTGCATCATTTCTTCTCTTGTAATGAGGGAATCCATCGTCATCAATAGAAGTACGAGAGCAGAAGTTTTTTGGAAATTTTTTTGAACACCGTCTGTCCTTCATGCAAGGAGATTTGTAATTTTCAGGACCACATGGACCATGTATCATGTAATTTGTGACAGATTGAAACAACAAAGGATTGGAATCCTTGTCAGGAATTTCCGCTGAAATCAATTTATCAATATCAAGAGCACTTTCAGGCTTGTTTGAAGGGTGCAAGAATAGCAGAATATGAGCATGAGGTAGTCCGCGCTTTTGGAATTCGATTGTACAAACATCTGTTACATTGACCAAAATGCAATAGAAATAATGATAAGAAAATAACAATGTTATAGACAGATTTCTTACATGTCATGATAAATTCCCTTAAAACTCGATTTAAGTTATGAATAAAAAATAAAAAAGTTTAGCATATACTTACATGCAATAACTTTGCCAAGAACATCTTTCCTCAAATCATGTAACAATTCGTCCAATTTGAACTTGAATACTCTGCGTAGAATATCAGGCCTATCTTCAGGGCTAAGCTGTCTAGCCCTTACAACTCGTGTGATTTATGGCCACTTAGGATTGCAGGTAATTGTTATAAAAAGACGAGGATACCCAGCCCAACGGCAAATTGCAAAAGCATCTTTACAATTTTCATCCATATATCTAGGTCCGCCTGTGAATGGAGTAAGTATAATGATACGTTTTCCAGTATTTACGGCTGCATCTTCACCTCTGTCGAATGAATGTTTTATATTTTTGTACAACTCATCTCTGAGATGACTTTGGTTATATCGAATGAAATTAAGCCGTTCAAACTCAATCATAGTATATGCATCAACCAGGAATTGTTGGAAAAGTTTCTTTGATCGAAGGAGAATGTCTGACTCTTCTGATCGTATATGAAGTCGAACAGAAAAGAATTTCTTCATGCTCATAACAGCTCTTGCATTAGTCCTACCACTGGACACGATAGTACGCTGGACATCATCGCGATAACCGTCTTCACCGTAAGGAAATAACAATGGATACTTACTGCAGGCCAAGATATAATGGATGCTTCATGTCGATGCGCTGCAGTACTCTATCTTGGGTCTCAATAATGATATCCCTATCACACATACCACTGTCTATATCTTCAACAATCAAAGCAGCCACTTCAGATGCTGTCGGAAGATTAATAAAATTTGAAACTTGAAATTTTAAAAATAAGAAACATAAAATTGAATTAAAGTTATTCATTTTGTTACATTAAAAATATGAAACAAAAATTTGAATCAAACTACTTATTTTTGTTAGATTGAAATTGTATCCTAATCTCTTTGTCGTAGTTATAATTAGTTATTTTATTTTTTGGATCAAAAAGACTTTTTTTGAATCAAAACGAACAAAGGTTAATAAAAATCCAAACTAGAAATTTAAAAAATAAGGGAACACAGCAAAACACAGCGTTTATAAAATATATCAACATACATTCCATAAGCATTATAATTGGTTGAACTAAACACAGCAAAACATCACAAAACATTTTGAATTCAATTAAGTCACGATAAATAAAATGATTTAAACAGTACACTATGTAACTCCAACAAAAAAAAGCACACTTCAGTAAACATCTTGTCTCCAAGACATACAAAAAACCAC